GCGCGAACCTGTGGGAACGTTCTGGGCGAGCGACTCGCCCAGAAATGTACAGCCACAACCGTGGGAACATTCTGGGCGAGCAGCTTGCCCAGAACTTTCCCACGGGTCACACCCGTTATGGAAAGTCGGCAGCGAGCGGGAACTGTATAGTTCCTAGGGTCCTTTTGTGTCAGCCTCACAGGGGGCTGAGAAGCTTACCCTTCTTCTCAGCTCATTCCCTGTGAAGGCAAGTGTACTTACCCGCTTTTCAATGAATAGCAGCTCATTCCCTGTGAAGGCTGAGGCCAGTCCCCTCAGCGACTTCGAGGAGTTAGCACCTGGGGAGAGTACCCCAGCACCCACACCCGGCCTCGCCCTCCGGCCACTCCCAGCTGGGGTCCGGATCCTGACACCACCCGCCAGACCCCATTTGAGCTCGACTCAGGACAACACCCCTGGATGGGGACTGAGCCAACCTGCTCCTCTGACGTCAAAGCAGCAGATGCCTTTGCCTCCCGGATGATGAAAATGCAGGAAGAGGCAAAGGCAGCACTAGAGCATGCAGCAGACGAGATGGCCTGGTACTATGACAGGAACCAGAAGGCTGCCCCAGAGTACAAAGAAGGGCAGAAGGTCTGGCTCAGCTCCCGAAACTACACAACTGACCGACCAACTTCGAAGCTGGACCACAAAAGGATTGGCCCCTTCCGCATCACCAAGGTGGTGTCCCCAGCAGCTGTGAAGCTGCAGTTCCCCACCCAGCTGAAGGGCGTCCACCCTGTAGTCTCAGTCACCAACATCCACCCCTACCTCCCAGATGAGATCGCCAAGCATGCAGCAGACCCCCACCCTGGCCCAGAAGTTATTGATGGAGAAGAAGAATATGAAGTAGAGAAGATCCTAAACTCTGGGTACAGGTACGGAAAACCCTGGTATTTTGTTAAATTCTCGGGCTGGCCAAACTCGGAAAATGAATGGCTCCCCCACAAGAACCTAGAGCACTCTCAAGAGCTCGTAGAAGAGTTCCACCGATCCCACCCTGATGCCCTGAGACAAGAAAGGTCCAATAGAACCCACCAGCCAAGACACCAGCCAAGACACCCAGCCACTCCGAGGCGAAGCGGTATAGAGGGGGGGTGATGTCAGGGCAACCACACCTGACCATACAACCCCAGAACCACCTTCCCTGACCTCCCCCCACTTCCCTCATCCTCCCATCCTTACACACCTTTCACAACTACAGCCTGCATGCAAACCCATGGGAAAAATCACGTGGGTCAAGGCAAGCAACTCACCTTAACCCATGTGACACCTTTTCTATAGAAAATATAGGGTTATGGCAGTTCCAGGGCCGGGGTCGGACAAGATGACAGTAGACCGCTAAATAAAATTGTCGGCACAAACATATGTAAATACATGTTTCGAGGCTGTCCTCCAACATTTTCCGCATCGCGGGAACATGCTCGGCTCCTACCCTTAGTCATGTTACAAACTGTACAGTACATTTCCCTTTTATAGTAGCCAAGCGGGGAATAGGGAAACTTACCCTTCTTCTCAACTCAATCCCTGCTTAGTGAGTTTGAGGAGCTTGGGGTAGGATCTAGCACCTGGCTGCCTGGGACACCGCAAGTGTCCAGTTCTGAGGTAGGGCTGCCCCCGGACAGAGGCCGGGCCCTGACAGCAGTACAGGGAGGCAAAGAATGCAGTGGGGAAAGAAATGTTGGAAGAGGTAAATTTTGTCCTGTAATTTTAACTAGAAGTGCAGTACATACACAACTATCCAAAATGCGGGTCGAATGATGACCAAGATGGGGTCTGGTATGGGCTGGGCTCAGGTGAATGCAAAGAACTGAAGGTGAGAACAGTCAGGGTGACCCGCGCAGCAGCGTAAACAAGTGGAGGAAGTAATACTATGCCCTTAATAATAGACTCATGAACATGATCATCAAGCCATGCAACACAATCCCCAACCCATGCCTTAACCCATGCGACACCTGCAACCCATCCAATCGGAAAAATCAAGACAGGAGCTACTGTGATATATATCGCTGAAACCCGCCATAGAATCATCTCCGTGCGTGTCGGAAAGGGAAACGACCATGCAAGGCAATGAATTCCCCCAAAGATTATTCCGGTGGCTGCAAATATGGACATGAATTCCAACCCCTTAGGCTCATCCACCCACACGAGGGACATCGGATCTGCATCAGGCTCCGTTTTAGGTGTTTGTTGATCAACATTTGTCTCGGAAGTCGGAGGAACAGAAGGGGACTTTCGCATCACATGGATTGGAAATTGAGCATTGACAGGTTTCTCCCACCACAACACGTAAACAAAGATATATAATGCCACATATGCCAGCGCCATTGTCTCGAGTTGCGATCTGTGCAAATGGTTTGCCCATCGTTCGGCATATTGAGTGATAAACCAGAGTAGTTGGAGGACAGTGATAATTTTGGAAAACGCATCGCCTTTGCTTCTGTCAAGAATTTCCTTCTGTGTAATTGCGACCTTTCTAGTATCCCCGGTGTTCTCAATTATGCCGGGGTATTGCTGCAAGTCATTCAGGCCCACAACGCTTCCTTCTGATGGGTCGAAGAAACCATTCATGACAACAAAGTATGAATGCGTCAAGGTCCACCCTTGTGGCAAGTAGTCAGCGCATCTTGTGCATTTCCCCTCAAATTCCGGGCACACCTTCAACCATCTCGAATTTTTCTGATATTCTCCGAGATATCAAAAATTGGTCCCAGGCAAGCGCCAGAGTGAACTCCGGTAGAACCAGTGACCAGGTCATCATGACAGCGCGCAGTATAAGCACTGAGGCATCATCATCATAGGATTGTGGTAGATCTGGGTGCACTGCTGTCCAAATGCAAGCAAATACAGTAAGGAGACAGCTATAGAGGATGCCCCATATCATTCGGTAATTCCGGGGATCGTTGTAACCATCAGATACATTTTGCAGGAAACAAGTCGTATTGTGAGGGGGGGTGGGCGCCGAATAAACATTGTAGGCAAGAAGAACGTTGATAAGGGCTGTTGCCATCAGATCTGGTAGAATGGGGGTACAAGCGCACCAAATACAGGTCGAGTATACTTAAGCTTTATAATGTGAACTGGGGTACTGCCGATGTTCAGCTCGTTATCAGCCATGCGGCAATTCCAGGGATTTCGAATTGCATCGATGTGAAATTAAGTTACCGCGCGTCATTCACTTCGAACAAATTTTAAATTTGACTCTAGATTCAGTCACCGCAGTCGACGATTTTACATAAGCGGTTGACTGTTGCGATAACATACCAGTTGTTCCTTTCAATGGTGCACGGCCATGAAAACCAGGGCCGGTTCGGGCCCTTGGGGCACTAGATATAGTTATATAACCCCCCAGGAAGTGTTAGCTCAGTCATTGCCATGGTCTCCTAACACTCGATGCGAGAAAACGCATTCCCCGCAAATTGTAGAGTTAGGTCCCTTCCCCACATCCCCGAAGGGAATAGGCCTCTCTCTTAGAAACTACATAAAGGGTGAATGAACCCCAGTCTTATTGGCGTCTGGCACATCCTTTACAGGACGCTGGCCACTCTAAGCTGTACTGGGAATTCCACACCGCGCTAATGATCATGTACTGAATAACTTCGTATACTATCACCTTGGCGGTGCTTCTTTACATCGGCAACGCCATCGACAACCTTCCTTGACACTGGCCATCTATCGCTCCTTCATACGACATGGCTCAGCTTCGGTTCTCGCCGTCTATTGCTACCACAATGACTACCGGGTCGAGCTCGCGGACTGCCGTGAAGCAACTGTTCTCCCTCTCACTCATTCCAACTAGGACAATGACAGAGAATACGTTCTCGTGCTCGCACTAGTTTCGATTCACGACAATTACTCGGGCGCTGGATGCTATAGATTCCATATTTACATGATTGACTATTGTCGTAGCTTCAGAGATTCAGTGCAAGCGCTGTACAATGAAATGGGAATCCTTTCCGAGGAGGCCACTCAGGGATTATTGTTCGAGTCAGTCCGAGATCTGTGAATTCACCTAATCCCAGCTGATATGTGTGTTTTTTTTGCAAATGGTGGACATCTCTCGAGCTCAGAGACAATCGTCGGGCCAACATGCTCCACGATATCCTGCTTCTACTGCACCCTCCGGCACCGCAGCCATCACACACACTCGGTGTCGAGACAACATGTCGATGAGTAAGGGTCAAGGCCAATTCTTCTCGACGGAATCCTGCAGAACAAATCTTGCCAGGTACGAAAGTTCATGTGCTACTATGCTACGCTTCTGATGAACCCTTAGGAGTTATTCCGTTCAATTTCGATGTCATTCAAGTCCCCACCCCTACGGCTCTGCCAGTCCTGCCAACCGCAGCGAGTTTCATGCACGAAAAGGGAGGGAATGGTGTGGGGAAAGAAAAGGTGATTAATGCTGGGAGAGGTGAAAATCAAACGGATTGCGAGTCTTTTAATTTATCCGTACGTAACTTGTGGTCTGATGGTTTTTAATCTCAAATGTAACGGCGCATCTGCGTCGTATTCGAATGTAAACAACGGTAATAAAACATACAGATTGAAATAAGAAGCACGGTACATACATCTATCCATGATGTGGAAGAAATGAGGTCCAAGATGGGGTCCGGTAAAGATCAGGGGGAGGCGAACGCAAAGAAGTGAAGGTAAGAACAAGATAATCCGGGCAATAATGTAAGAGGCTTCCATGAGTAACCCACATAGTTCAACTACGGAAGAGCAAACATCAGTAGCCTGGCGATGAGTTATAGTAAAGCGAAAATCTCCAAGAGCAGAACGATAAATATTGTCTGCAGGGAGGAGAGTGATCCGTCGTATCGACATGTGCAAGGCATAAGGAATAGGGCACGCCACAATAATTATCGCTGAAATCCGCCACAGAAGGGTCTCCTTGGGTGTTGGAAAGGGAAATGACCATGCCAAGCAATGGATCCCCCCGAAGATGATGCCCGCTGCTACACTACTCGTCATAAGGGTGGACCCTGACGCATTCATACTTTGTCGTCATAGATGGTTTCCGAGTCGACTCGGGACTGGAATTGCCGGTGGATGACTTGCAGAAATATCCTGCCATAATTGAGAAGACGGGGAATACTAGGAAGGCCGCAATAACAAAGAAACAAATTCTTGACAGAAGCAAAGGGGACCCATTTTCCAAATTTATCATTGTCGTTCAGCTGCTATGGTTTATCACTCAATACGTCGGACGGTGGGCAAGCCATTTACAAAGATCGCAACTGGAGACAATGACGCTCGCGTACGCGGCATTATGCGTCTTTCTTTATGTGTTGTGGTGGCATAAACCCGTTAACATTCAATTCCCAATCTATGTGATGGAAGAGTCCCCTTCCGTTCCTCCGACTTCCGAGACAAATGTCGATCAACCGACACCTAAAACGGAGACTGATGCAGATCCGATGTCCGTGCAAGTGTCTGAGCCCAAGGATATGGAAGTCATGTCGATATTTATAGCCACTGGGATGATCTTTGGGGGAATCCATTGCCTTGCATGGTCATTCCCCTTTCCGACCCACACGGAGATGATTTTATGGCAAGTTTCAGCAGTATATATTACAGTCGCTCCTGTCTTTATAACGTTGGCCGGATGGCTTAGTGATCATGTTGATGATGATTTGGGTATGATGATAATGGTACTTCTTTTACTTGTTTATGCCGTTGCGCGGGTCATCCTCCTTGTTCTCACCCTCAGTTCTTTGCGTTCACCTCCACCTAGTCTATACCAAACCCCGTCTTGGTCATCATTCCTCCCGCACTTTGGATAGCTGTGTATGTACCGCGCTTCGGGTGTTTTATGTACTGCGGGATAGCACAATTGAACATGACTCACCATGAGCGCGGTTGCGTTAATTAAGATTCAAATTCATGACATCACAAGTCACATAGTGATTCACTTGGCATCCGGCATCCCTGCACTGCCGAGGTCCTTGGATGGCTGCAAAGAGACCATCTCCCGAACCAATTCCCCCTAGGCCACTCAGATACAAGCCATTCCCTCGGATCTCACCATGCCTGGGAAGCCTGCCCCTCGCATGAATAATATTGTTGGCAAAAATACCCAGATGGTGCAACAAGGCAGGCCAAATGCCGGCCTTACCGGGTTCGTGCTTCTCATCCTTCACCGTTTATTTAGTTGATTGTTTGATTCTGGGCGTATTAGGTTATTCCTACGCGTGGGGCTTCTGATTTAAGTGTACAGAGACAACGAGGGTTTGGCCAATCTGAATCTACTCCCCCTTTATGTCCAGGTAAAGACCAAAGCACAATAATCGTCATCTTCTTTTCCGTGATAACACTGGGCCTCCAGCATCCAACAGAGGTGACCTTTTCCGTTTTCGTCCCTGCCTTTCCTCTCGAACTTCTCTCACCAAGGTTTGAGGACAAATAACCGTATCATCATGTTGGGTACAACTCACCTCCGTTTCTAGCCAGATAATTCACAAAGTTGCCTATCTGACCGGCAACGGACATTTCGGTTGCAATACCAACGAAGTCAGGATCGTTGTGAAAATAGCGTATAAAAGGCGGCTGCTCTGCGAGTGAACGCGGGGCTGACCCGCTGGGACTGATGGTGCTGATAGTGGGGTTGGCAGTAGTGGATGGGTCCGGCGTGCTGGCGTGGGAGACACCGATGTATGCAAGGATCGACAATTGGGTGGGTGATGCGGGTCGCTGTATGTCATCTGTCGTTGGATATGGTCCGATACCAATATTTGTGCCACCCTGGGCACCCAGCGGGTTCGACGCGGAACCATAAGATAAGTTGAAATAGTCAGATAAGTGGTAATCATAATTCATACCATTGGCTCTTCCTTCTGTTCTCTCTCCTTAGATGCACCTGGCAGTGAGGATTCCAAAGTTTCTGGAGGCCACGCCGCTCTGTTCTGACGCGTAATGAAAGGGGATTGGAACGCTACCCTTCCACCGGTAGTACTCATCGACCCGCTAATCCTCAGCTCCCCAATTGGTAAGCTGGTCAGTGTTTCCCCTCGCTGCACCCGCTCAAGCAGATGGTTGAGCTCAGCAGCGCTGGGTCGTAGCTCAGGGCGAGGTTCGAAACACGCCGAAAGGCACCTTTCAACGGAACCGACATTGCTCCATTCATAAGGAGGGCCCTTGGAGATGGCCGAAGGAAGCTGGAACGGGCCTTATACGGGATCTGGTCAGTGAGGATCTGAACCACAAATCAGTCCTCGGGCTCATATTCCTAAGCATAACTTTCACCTCTGCAGCTGTACACCCAAAAGCCCAAATATCGCTGGCTTCATTTCGCCCGGTGATGATGGCCTCCACCAGTTCTGGGGAAGCGTACCTAGGAGTGCTCATCACGCTCGATGATTCGGCGTGCGTTGTAAAATCGTCGAGGATGGAGGAAAGCCCGAAATCACATAATTGTGCATCACAATCCGCTCCCAGGACGAGTATATTCTCCTATTGCAGTCACCAGTAGATAAACCAGTACTAGGGACGAAATTATGGTTGAACGCACTGGTTTGATGTCTCCGTGGACTATACCGCATAAACCAATCCTTGACATGCTCCCCGAATCTAACTGACTTAATTAGCGACGGAGTTTGGAGTTGAAAAATCCGCAACCAACTGATGAGATGAGGGCGGTCCCCAAGTGGATTACGGCGCAAGAAATCCTTCACGTTCCCACCTTCAGCCCACTCCGATATCAGGCTCACACGTAATTTATCGTCAACAACGCGCTGTAGCGTCCAGCCAAGAAATGCTACGATATTTCCGTGCTGCAAGTTGTGCCAAACCTTGACTTCTCGTCTGAGCCGCTGAAAGGAGCAAGGTTGTGGCCAAGGCAAAGGAGAGGGAGGGAAACGATACGAACCCGAATAAACTTCCCAAGCCAGTCTGTGCTGATAACAGGGACTTCTTTAAGCACCTTCACGCAGACGTTCTGAAAGCAAGAGTAAAAAGTCAGTGGGCGCTAACGTTGATCCCCGAAGAAAGAGCGAACGCACGGAATTATGATATTCACCCAAATATACGTCACCAAAGCCCCCCCAGCCCCTCCTACAGTTGAGATCAAGATCGACGTTGACCAAACTTGTAAGGTTGCGTGGATCTACGGCAGATAGTTCTTCGAGAAGTACAGCCTCTACCTCTTGAGACGCATCCGGAGTGAACATCAGGATAATTATTGACACTCAGTGATGCTTGTGCTGAGTACTCCAACGTGTTCTTGGGCACGGATGGACATAAGGGGTGTATTACTTATTCAATTTTGACGCTCCCAATCACCTGTGTGAACGGCACCAAGAATGGTGGGTTCGCCAGTCAGCCGACGGATTATATCACTCTCATGAACATACACTTGTACTTTGGGCATCACTTGAACAAAAGCAGACAAGCATACCCGAATCGTAGACTTGTCCCACTTTATTATCATGTATTTATTCCGAGGACTGCTCTTGGCGCTTGTCCCAGCTACACTCCGAAAAAAGACCGCATTTTTGGTGCCCTCTTTGTTTGGCCTTCCCATCGTAGGCAGGATCGAGAACAGTGCCAGCCAGACCTGAATTAGCACAAACTCCAAGGGAGAAAGTGATGCTGCAGGAGTCACATCCAGTATGGTACCTTATCTTCATACGCCGAAGAAGCCCAAATGCGGCTTTACTGGATTGTATGAGGGGTCTGTCGGAGTGATATCGATAAGCGCGAGGGTATGACTATGTGCTCCCAGCTTCCACCACTACCTCTCTCGAATAGTTCAGGAGACTGATATGGAGCAGACTCCTTCCCAGTCGCTCACATGATTTCTCCGAGGTTTAGCCGCAACTTACGTTGCCCTCCGAAATCTGTCGAGCGACTGGTACAACTTGCAACACGTGATGTTCCCACGCTAAGTTGTAATGAGTTGTACATAGGTTACGGAATATAATTTTTAGTATTTACACATGCGGTCATTGCACTCAACCCAACCCGTGAAGACTAAGGGAGCACATCCAAGGTTATGGAGTCAATATCCGGGTGTGCGCGAAGTTTAACAGTTTATATATTACTTAGTTGCTAGTCACTTGTTTGTGCCCGGTGGCATAAGTGGTATAGCGCGGGCTGAGGCTATGCAGTTTTTTTAAGTGGCACATGTTCGATTCTCACTCGGGAAACTTTTTTTTTTCATACCCTTCACTCCTTAGTGTACAGAAAACAACCATTTCACACAATTATTCCATGGGAGGGCCCAAAAAAAGTTTTCCTATGTGAGAATCGAACATGTGCCACTTAAAAAAACTGCATAGCCTCAGCTCGCGCTATACCACTTATGCCACCGGGCACAAACAAGTGACTAGCAACTAAGTAATATATAAACTGTTAAACTTCGCGCACACCCGGATATTGACTCCATAACCTTGGATGTGCTCCCTTAGTCTTCACGGGTTGGGTTGAGTGCAATGACCGCATGTGTAAATACTAAAAATTATATTCCGTAACCTATGTACAACTCATTACAACTTAGCGTGGGAACATCACGTGTTGCAAGTTGTACCAGTCGCTCGACAGATTTCGGAGGGCAACGTAAGTTGCGGCTAAACCTCGGAGAAATCATGTGAGCGACTGGGAAGGAGTCTGGATACGGAGTGGAGTGAATTTATTAACTTTTGCTGGCACGTGTTCAAGACATGCATATATCTGTGGTGTTTAATTCTCGAATTGCATGATGTGCTTCTCACACTTCCTTGCCTTTCCATCCAGTGCCCCCACGGGGATTCGTAAGTTGCATTCCAGCCAGGGTTCCCCCGCTGCTCGAGTTTTTCTCTGGTAGTTCCTGGGAAATTGATCAAAGGCGGGATCAATTGTTTCTGCTCCTACGACGTGACGCAAGTTCCAACGCATGCAATCAGGGAGGGGGGTTCAAAGTTGATGACAACGGCTATGCAAAAAAAAAGCCGGTGCGCATTAAAGGGAAATTTGTTTTGTTTGAATTTGAATGAGGCGTTGTTGTTGTTTATTCTGGATATTTATCCTGCAAACTCGCTCCACTCTCAAGTCGTCACGTATGGGTTGTCCGATCTTGGGTTGGCGATGTCGGATACGTGCGCATGGCCCCACGGTATGATTTTCAAATGCTTCAGGATCCATGTGATGATGTCTTCACTTGCGTAACCTATCACATGCCGATATATGAAAGTGGGCCCAGTCACGGCAGTTAAGATTAAGTCCGACGCCCATTTGATCATCGGCTAGGCACCTCACATTGAGCTTGGCAGATCCATCAAAGAGCTGTGGATATGTAATTCGGAATCTCTAGAATCAAATACCAGTTTGCCTCGCGGGAGTTGCATGGCTAACACAGCATTAAACATAGGGGCAGTATAAAGCTTATACTCAACCTATAAAATTTGGCCTGTACCCATTCTTGCCTATGGTGTTTATGCAATGCCTATCCTCCCTCATAACACCACGAGTCTCTCAGTGCCAAATATATCTAATGCTTGCAATGACCTACGCAATTGTCAAACTATGTGGAATATCGTCTATACCTGTCTCCTCACGATTATTGCGTGCATTTGGACGGCCGTACACCCAGATATACCAAAGCCTGATTATTCCCTGTTCAAACATCCTGGATCGTCCCGTGGCCCCTTGATGATTCTTTCACTGGTTGCACCGGAGGTCCTTCTGGGGGGAGCGTTGGGAGATCTCTTGGACGCTCGGAGAGTGTCAAAAGGCTGCAGGATGATCGAAGGTGTGCCCTGAATTTGAGCAGAAATACACAAGACAAGAATCTGATCTCTACTCTTCACAAGGATGGACGGATACGCATTCATTCTTTGTCATCATGCGTGGCTTCTTCGACCCATCCATAGGAGCAGTGATTCCCAAAAGGAACGAAAATCCTCTGGACGTCCTCAAGCAATACCCAGGCATAATTGAGAGTGCTGGTAAGGTCGCAGTAGCAAAGGAAGAAATTCTTGACAGAAGCAAAGGGGACTGGTTTGCGAAATTTATCGTTATCCTGCAACTACTGTGGTTTATCATTCATTATATCGGACGATGGGCAGGCGGTTTGCATAGTTCACAACTCGAGACAATGACGTTGGCGTATGCAACACTAAGTGTCATCGATTATGTGTTGTGGTGGCATAAACCTACTCTCATCCAACTCCCGATCCGTGTGACGAAAGATTCCGGCTGTTTCGATCCTCCGAGTTTCAGGGACGTCGATGCCGATCAGCCAGAGCACAGTGTGGAGAAGGGGGCAGTTCTGAATCTCACTCTAGCGGAGATCGTTGGATATGGCCCTGTTTGGGCCAGTGTAGCCGCGGGCATCATCTTCGGGGGGATTCATTGCTTGGCGTGGTCATTTCCCTTTCCAACACCCAGGGAGACCATTCTGTGGCGGGTTTCAGCGATAATTATTGTGGCGTGCCCTATTCCTTATGCCTTGCACATGTCGACACGACGGATCACTCTCCTCCCTGTAGACGATACTTATCGTTCTGCTCTTGGAAATTTTTTCTTTTGTATAACTCGTCGCCAGGCTGTTGATTTTTGCTCTAACGTAGCCAGAGTATGTGGGTTTCTGATGGAAGCCTCTTACGTCATTGCCCGGATTATCTTGCTTGTTCTTACCATCACCACTCTGCGTTCGCCCCCCCCTGATCTTTACCAGACCCCATCTTGGACCGCATTTCTCCCACATCTTGGATAGATGTATGTACCGTGCTTCATATTCCAATTTGTATGTTTTATTACCATTGTTTACATTCGAGTATGACCTAGATGCGCCAGATTAAAAACCATCAGATCACAAGTTACGTGGGGATAAATTAAAAGACTCTCGCAATCCGTTTGATTTTCACCTCTCCCAGCATTAAACACCGTTTCTTTCCCCACACCATTCCCACACATTCTTCCCCTTTTCGTACCTAAAATTTGCCGCGGTTGGCGCGACTGGCAGGGCCGTAGGGGTGGGGCCTTGTATGACACCGAGATTGCACGGAACAACTCCTAAGGGTTCATCAGAAGGGTAGCATAGTAGAACACGAACTTTCATACCTGGCACCCCGGTGCTGCCAAAGCTTCACCCCTCGCCCGCTCAAAAGCTGCGCCATCTGCGGCTAATCTCACCGGCGTCCAGTGAGTGAATGAAGGGACTTCTTGAGCCCTTCGCTCTGCTTCCTGGACGGTTCTTTGCCATCTCCCACTTTCACTGCCATCTTGGCCAAATGTACTGGTCGCTCTGCTCTGCATGATCCGTACGATTTCCAGTTCCCCAAAAAAAGATGCCCAATCGAATGACTCATCATATTACTTCACCGTACCAGCAAGAGCAATGCCCCGTGCGCAACAGCCGAGTGATCCGTGACTCCAAGGATGAACCCAAATCGAAACGGACCAAATCGGGGCCTTCTCTTCTTCGACAAGAAACTCAAAGGGAAACCGGGTTGCTGGAGGAAAAGGAAAAGCATAGGATGAAAGCACTTTGCTTGCCGCTCTTGACCGGTTCAAAGGGCAGGCTGAAGGATGCGTGTGTCGAGGGACCTTCAAGCAACCGCGTGGGTGCAAAGCCCAAAGAAACGGGTGAGGATGGCGAGCAGGCTGCACTTGAGGTTGATAATGATACTAGTTGGATGAGCCATCGACTGGAGTTCCCTAAGGACGACGAGGCTGGGGCGCATCGTGCTGAACATGATTACGAGGTCATCGATCCTCGAGCCAAGGCGCGAGAAATACGCGAGGAGGAACAGGAACGAAAGAGGTCACGACGGTCCGAAGTCGGGCGAGCATTTCGGAAAGGGAGATGACTCATCGTCTCACGGTGCCTGTAACACAATTGTGGTTCGTCATCTCATTCAATCTATCCTACAAACTAGCTACACCGAGGTATTCACCCAATACCAGTAAGGTCTGTATAATCAGCGAGGCGAGATCGAGAGATGGAAGGATGCGAGAAAGTGTTCAATGGGGTGCTGACGTTGAAGGCTTTTATCCGTCCAGATTCTTGCAGGCTTAAAAATCACCCTGGGTGAGTAAGAATGGTTGGCTAAACGAAAGCGACGATGATGCACCCGATGAAGCCTCCGAAGTCCTCGTATGTGAGGAGACAGCGTCATTATCTTCTACCCAATAGCAAGAGTCGGCCTCTGCCAATTGTCTCGCCAACCCTCGGCTCCCCAGCCAACGGGCTCCCCAACATCGCAGTTTGCACAGGGAATCAGTGTCAAGCCCTTGAAGCGTTTGGCGGGTCCGGTCATTAGCAAGGTCCTCTAGAGTGGATGGTTTTGATTGTTGCTGCTGGGGAGGTTGGGGCAGTACCGATGGATGACTTTGTTGGGCCGGGAGGGATTTCGCTGGCTTGAGGCTGATTTTGTGTGGGCGATACGTTGGCACTCGCTCCTGGAGCCGGAGCAGGTGAGATTTGTTCTGCAAGATTCGTCGGGGGAGGGAAGAATTGGCCCCGACCCAATCTTCCCGTACTCATCGGTATGCTGGGTCGGCGCCGGATATGTGTGGTGGGTGCTGTACCGCAGGGTGCAGTGGAAGTGGAACATGTTGAGCCGACGATTGTCTCTGAGCTCGGGAGATGTTCCAGAACGCTGTCCACCATCTGCAAAAAGCACATACTGGCTGGGATTAAGCGAATGCGCACATCTCGGACTGGGTTGAACAATAATCCCTGAGGTGGATTAATAGCTTCCCCGGGAAGGATTCTCGTTTCGTTGAACAACGCTTTCACCCAATTGTCGTGAACTGAAAAGAGACAATGAAATTCCCAATGAGCCGAAACTGACACGGGCACGGGAACGTACTCTCTGCCACCCTCTCTGTCACCACCCTAGTCGAGATGAGTGGGAGGGAACTGTGGTGACTCCAATGGGGGAGTCTCAGACACGGCAGTCCGCGAGCTCGACCCGATAGTCGGTGTGGTGGCAGAGGTAGACGGCGAGGATTGAAGCTGAGCCTTGTTGTATGAAAAGCAATAGATGGACAGAGTCGAAGGGAAGGTTTCGATGGCGTTGCTGATGTAAAAGATATCTAGAAGTACGGTCAAGGCGATAATATACAAGCTATTTAGAACGACTGGGAGATGATCATTGGCACGGTGTGGAATTCCTAGTATGGCCTAGAGTAGCCGCCCCTCTGTAAGTCGGTGGATACAAAGATGATACGAGGGATGCCGGCAGGACTGCACAACGGCGATTTACTAATTGTAGTTCGTAGTCGTTGCCGCAGAGGGACCATGCTGTTTAGAGAGGTGGGAATTCGCAGAGAAGAAGGCGGCTACGAACGGTGATTCAGTCAGAGGGCTGCTTGAGTATTTAGCGTGAGGGTAGACCCACACGGCAAGACTGGAACCAAGTAGATTTCGGCGTTAAAATGACCGAAAGAAACTCACAAAGGATGACACAGAATGAAAGGAGGGCAAGTAAAGTGACGACAGAGGCGACCCGAAAGGGCTGACCCAAAGAAATAAAGAATCTGCAGACGAAGATATGCGGCGGGCAAAAACACAAGTACCGGGCTCGAAGATGCGGGCAGGGAACCAGCGGATGCTAGTGGCAGACACAGGTAGCGGTTAAAGGAGGGCAGAAGTGCGGATTGACAGTCAGGGAGAGACCGATCGTGACAGCGGGTACAAGATCACAGTAATGGTTGTCTTCGTTTCCGCAATAATCCCCCAGCGTCCAATGAAGGTGACGGTTTCCGTTTCCGACACTGCACATATTTTCCTCGCCAAGGTTCGAGGACCAATGACCGCTTGATCATGTAGGTTACAACTCGCCTCCGTTGATTCCAGCCAGGTAATCCACAAGGTTGCTTATCTGACCAGCAACGAACACTTCGCTTGCAACACCAGCAAAGCCCAGATTGTTGCATGTTGAAGTAGGGTGGTCTCCCCAAAGGGTGGATTTGGGGCTGAACCGACGATGCCGATAGTGGCGCTGGTGGCAGTGGATGAGTCTCTCGTTTTACGAGCCTGCCGCAGGAGACACAGATGTATCCGTCCACAATTGGATGGGCGACATGGATCGCTGGCCCAATCGCTACACCCGGGCTGTTGGATTTAACGTCGACTTGACTCGCACTCTGCAAACATGTCGTTGGTATTCGACCGTTAATGCCTGGAAACCTCTGCTATATGCAACATGCGCAGCAGGGGGCAGTGAGAGGCTGGGCAAATCTGGCAGTTCTCAGTTGATTAAGGCACGCACAGGATATGGGAAGGTCCTTCCACGAAAGTGGTAACATCATTGTATGGATGGACTCAACTTATGATTATAACGCTGGGGTCCACCTTGCAATGTACCCTGGCCAACTTGTGGCTTCACTCCTGCAACCCGACCTGCATGATGCGCTAGCTTCTCATACTTCCTGGTTTCGGTCCTGTGCCTTTCCAGTGCCCGGTGGGGATTCGTATGTTCTGCGCCATAGAAGCAGAAACAACCCCATTCTGCCTGAGAAAAACTCGAGCAGCGGCGGGTTCAAAGTTGATTACAGTGGCATCCCAAACAAGCCGGCGCGCGCGCGTGGCGATATGGACGAATGGGGCAGGTGATAACTCGAAATGGCAACAAATTAGACAAAAGTGAAATTTGCTTGAATTTGAACGAGGCTACGCGCGCAGCCGCATGGTATGATTTTCACAGCTTCTTGACTTCAGAGAAACTTCAGGATCTACAAAATGATGCCTTCACTTGCGTGCTTACCTGCTCGTAGGGACCTATCATATCCTGATATATGGAAGTCCGGAATGGTTAGACATTTCCCGACCTAGTATTAGCCCATTCAATTCACTGCAGTTGTCCGATCTCCGTTCATCGGCTAGCCCCTCACATTGAATTTGGCAGCTTCCAGGATTGCTTCATCATTAGTCATCGAAGATCTGTGGTATGTAATTCGGAACCCTTAGAATCATGCATCTATGTACCTGCTTGCCTTGAGGAAGTCGCATGTCTGATAAAGTGCTGAACATAGGGACATGCCCCAGTCCACAGTATAAAGCTTATACTCAACCTGTATTTGGTGTGCTTGTACCTGTACCCACACTCGATCTGATGGCAACTACTCTTATCACCTTTCTTCTTGTCCACAGTGTTTATCCAGCGCCTATCTCCCCTCACAATATGACTTATTTCGTGCAAAATGTATCTGATGGTTGCAACGATCTCCGGAATTGCCGAACAATGTGGGGCATCGTATATAGCTGTCTCCTTACCGTCTTTGCTTGCATTTGGACGGCAGTGCACCCAAATCTACCGAATCACGATGATGGTGTCTTGGGGGTGCATCGCACGTTGGCTTGATGATGGTTTCATTGGTTTCACCGGAGATGATTCTAATGACTGCATGGCACCAATTCTTGTGGTCTTGGAAAATATCAAAAAGATACAAGATGGTTGAAGGTGTGTCCTGAATTTGAGAGGAAATGCTCAAGTTAGGAAGGGATGAGGCACTGACTTGTACTTGTCACAAGGGTGGACCTCGACGCATTCATACTTCATCGTCATGGGTGGTTTCAACCCATCAACAGGAATAGCGGTGGACCCGAACGACTTGTACCAATACCCCGGCATAATCGAGAAGACCGGGAATACTAGAAAGGCCGCCATAATAAAGAAAGAAATTCTCGACAAAAGTAAAGGGGATGTGTTTTCGAAATTTATCATTGTCCTTCAACTACTATGGTTCATCACTCAATATGTCGGACGATGGGCAAGCCATTTGCACAGATCACAACTCGAGACAATGACGCTGGCGTATGCAGCATTGAGTCTCTTTGTTTACGTGCTGTGGTGGCATAAACCCGTCAACATTCAATTCCCAATCCATGTGACGAGAGAGTCCCCTTCCGTTCCTTCCGAGACAAAACCAACACCTAAAACGGAGACTGATGCAGATCCGATGTCCCTCGTGCAGGTGTCTGAGCCCGAGGGGTTGGGAGTCGGGTCCATATTTATAGCCACTGGGATGATCTTTGGGGGAATCCATTGCCTTGCATGGTCGTTTGCCTTTCCGACACGCACGGAGATGATTCTATGGAGGGTTTCAGCAATATACATTACAGTGGCTCCTGTCTTTCCAATTTTGATCACGTGGATTAACGACGGATCAGTACTTCAAGTTTTTGCACTTGTTTTTGCACTTGTTTATGCTGCAGCGCGGGTCATCCTGCTTGTTCTCACCTTCAGTTCTTTGCGTTCACCTCCGCCTAGTCTATACCAGACCCCGTCTTGGTCATCATTCCTCCCGCATTTTGGATAGCTGTGTATGTACCGTGCTTCTAGTTAAAAAATTACAGGACAACCCGGTTTTGTCTTTGGTGTAGCTCATCGCGAGGCTGCTAATTTTGTTCTTCCGTACTTAATAGATGTGGGCTACTCATGGAGGCCTCTTACGTCACTGCCCGGATTGTTTGTTCTTCCCACCACCTCTCTGCGTTCGCCTCCCCCTGATCTTTACCGGACCCCATCTTGGACCTCATTCCTCCCACATCTTGGATAGATGCATGTACCGTGCTTCTTATTTCATGTCTTATTACCGTTGTTTACATTCGAATACGACTCAGATGCGCCGTTACATTTGAGATTATAAAAACCATCAGACCACAAGTTACGTAGGGACAAATTAAAAGACTCTCGCAATCCGTTTGATTTTCACCTCTCCTAGCATCAATCACCGTTTCTTTCCCCACACCATTCCCACCCTCACATTCTTCCCCTTTTCGTGCCTGAAACTGGCGCGACTGGCAGGGCCGTAGGGGTGGGGACTTGAATGACATCAAGATCGAACGGAACAACTCCTAAGAGTTCATCAGAAGGGTAGCATAGTAGAACACGAACTTTCGTACCCGGCACCCCGGTGCTGCCAAAGCTTCGCCCCTCGCCCGCTCAAAAGATGTACCATCCGCGGCTGATCCCTCAGGTTCTGACCGGCGTCCGGTGAGTGAATGAAGGGACTTCTTGAGCCCTTCGCTCTGCTTCCTGGGCAGTTCTTTGCCAACTCCCGCTTTCGCTGCCATCTTGGCCAAATGTACTGGTCGCTCTGCATGATCCGCACGATCTCCAGTTCCCCAAAAAAGACAGATCATATTACATCACCAGACCAGCCTGAGCAAGCTCCTCACGATGAGGCAGTAGTAAGAGCAATGCCCCGTGCGCAACAGCCGAGTGAGTCGTGACTCCGAGGATGAACCCAAATCGAAAAGGACCAAATCGGGGCCTTCTCTTCTTCAACAAGAACTGGCAAAATACTCAAAGGGAAAACGGGCTGCTGGAGGAAAAGGAAAAGCAAAGGATGAAAGGGCCCTCCCTGCTGCTCTTGACCGGCTCAAAGCCAGGCTGAAGGATGCGCGTGTCGAGGGACCTTCAAGCAACCGCGTGGGTGAAGATGATACAAAGCCTGAAGAAACGGGTGAGGATGGCGAGGAGGCTGCACTTGAGGTTGATAATGACGCTGGTTGGATGAGCCATCGACTGGAGTTCCCTAAGAATGACGAGACTGAGACGCATCGTGCTGAACATGATTACGAGGTCATCGATCCTCGAGCCAAGGCACGAGAAATACGCGAGGAGGGACAGGAACGAAAGAGGTCACGACGGTCCGAAGTTGGGCGAGCATTTCGGAAAGGGAGATAACTTATCGTCTCACATCTTACGGTGCCTGTAACACAATTGTCATTCGTCATCTCATTCAATCCATCATACAAACAAGCCACACCAAAGTATTCACCCAATACCGGTAAGGTCCGTATAATCAGCGAGGCGAGATCGAGAGATGGAAGGATGCGAGAAAGTGGTCAATGGGGGTGCCGACATTGAAGGCTTTTATCCGTCCAGATTCTTGAAGGCTTAAAAATCACCCAGGGTGAGTAAGAATGGTTGGCTAAACGAAAGCGACGATGACGCACCCGATGAAGCCTCCGAAGTCCCTCTCCCCAGCGTTGCAGCTTGCGCAGGGGATCACTTGAAGCGCTTGGCGGTTCGGGTCATTAGCTAGCATTGGGTCCTCTAGAGTGGATGGTTGTACAATTGATTGCTGCCGCTGGGGAGGTTGGGGCAGTACCGATGGATGACCTTGTTGGGCTGGGAGGGATTTTGTGTGGGCGATGCGTTGGCGCTCATTCCTGGAGTCGGAGCAGATAAGATTTGTTCTGCAGGATTCGTCGGGGGAGGGCAGGATTGGCCTTGACCCAATCCTCCCGTACTCATCGACATGTTGGATCGACACCGGATGTGTGTGATGGGTGCCGTACCGTAGGGTGCAGTGGAAGTAGAATACTTGACCCGACGATTGTCTCCGAGCTCGGGAGATGTTCCAGAACGCTGTCCACCATCTGCAAAAAGCACATACTGGCTGGGATTAGGTGAATGCGTACATCTCGGACTGGCTCGAACAATAATCCCTGAGGTGCATTAACAGCCTCCTCAGGAAGGAGTTGTACAACGCTTGCACCCAATTGTCGTGAACCGAAAAAAGCAATTGCCAACGAGCCGAAACTGGTACGGGCACGGGAACGCACTCACTGTCACCCTCTCTGTCACCGGCCTAGTTGAGATGAGTGGGAGGGAACTGTGGTGACTCCAATGGGGGCGTCCCAGACACGGCAGTCCGCGAGCTCGACCCGATAGTCGGAGTGGTGGCAGAGGTAGACGGCGAGGATTGAAGCTGAGCCCTGTTGTATGAAAAGCAATAGATGGTCAGAGTCGAAGGGAAGGTTTTCGATGGCGTTGCTGATGTAAAAGATATCTAGAAGTACGGTCAAGGCGATAATATACGAAGCTATTTAGAACAACTAGGAGATGATCATTGGCACGGTGTGGAACTCCCAGTACGGCCCAGAGTGGCCGCCGCTCTGTAAGTCGGTGGATACAAAGGTGATACGAAGGATGTCAGGACTGCTCAACGGCGATTTACTAATTGTTGTTTCGTAGTCGTTGCCGCAGAGCGACCATGCTGTTTGGGGAGGTGGATATTCGCAGAGAAGAAGACGGCCACGAACACCGATTCAGTCAGAGGGCTGCTTGACTATTCAGCGTGAGGGTAGACCCACACGGCAAGATTAACAAAACAAAGAATCGGCGGACGAAGATATGCGGTGGGCAAGAAGATGCGAGCAGGGAATGTACGGAACTAGCGGGTGCTGGCGGCGGACACAGGTAGCGGTTGAAGGCAAGCAGTCTAGGACATGAAGGAGCAATAACACTATACTGGCAGGGCAGAAGCGCGGATGGACAGATCGGGGGGAGGCCGACAGCGGGTACAAAAGCACAGTAATCGTTATCTTCGTTTCCGCAATAATCCCCCAAGCATCCAATTCAGGTGACGTTTTCCCGTTTTCGACCCTGTACTTTTCTCGCCAGGGTTTGAGGACCAATGACCGCTTGATCATGTAGGTTACAACTCGCCTGTGTTATTAATAATTCCAGCCAGGAAATCCGCAAAGTTGCTCATCTGACCAGCAATGGACATTTCGCTTGCAACACCAGCAAAGCCCAGACTGTCGCACAGTAAAGTAAGTTGGTCTCCCCAAAGGGTGAATTTGGGGCTGAACCGCTGGGCCTGACGATGCTGACAGTGGCGCTGGTGGCAGTGAGTGAGTCTCTCGTTTGACGTGCCTGTCGCAGGAGTCACAGATGCATGCGAGAGTGCCGGTCGACAATCGGATGAGCGACATAGGCCGCCGCTATGGCCTGAAATATTATCGGATATGACGCAATAGCTACGCCCGGGCTGTTGGATTTAACGTCGACTTGACTCGCACTCTGCAAACATAACGTTGCTATTCGACTGTTGATGCCTGGGAATCTCTGCTACATGCGACATGCGCAGCAGGGGCAGTGAGAGGCTGGGCGGATCTGGCAGTTCTCAGTTGCTTAAAAGGCATGCACAGGATACGGGAAGGTCCGTCCATGGCTGTTGTTGTTGTTGTTGTTGTTGTACTCTATTTTGTTACCCCGCGGCCGCGTTTGTACGTGGCAGTGCGGCTAGCCCGGTTATTTACATCTGACTGTACATGAGGGGCTCGTCAATACAAGGTAGGTTATCTGGTTGGTGTGGTCGGGATGACGGGATCCTCCGGTTTGTGATGTCTGGGATTAAGCTGTGTCTGGGTATGCGTGGGGGTGTGGTGGCGTCTATGTCACTCCTCTCTCCCTACGGGTGGTTACTGGTTGTGTGCTCCTGTCCCCTGTTCCTCCGCTATGCATTGCTCTCTGTCCGCTCTTTTTGTCGATGACCCGCGACTTCTTAATAAAGGCCGCTAGTCTAAGAATGCCTTTGGGCTTCCCCATCAGGATCGAAAATCTGCTCTGACGACCGCGGCCCAGTATGTGTCTGTATTTCTTAAACTGTGGGCATACCTGAAGGACATGTTCTCTTGTCTGGTTGGCAGCTCCACATGGACACTCTCTGCTCTCTGTGTGGATGCCGAACCGGTGATAGTATTCGCCCAGGTGTGCGTGGCCGGTGCGGAACTGGACCAGCCTACTGAAGGTTTTCCGGTCCAGCGATTTGAATCTGGTGGTGGGTTTAGTTGATGGGGAGATCTGGTTTGCCGTATGGAATCCTGATCGGATCGGGGTGGGTGTGCTTGTCCAACGTTCTTTCCACTCTTCTTCCATATCCTGCTTATGCAAGCTTTCTACATAGGATAATGAGTGGTAGCGGGGTCTGTCCGGGTTAATGCGGGCTCCTTCTTTGGCCAGTTCGTCCGCCCGCTCGTTTCCCTTGATGCCACAGTGGCCTGGGCACCAACTTATCGCGACCTTGAGGTCAGCTCTGTCGTCCAGTAGTCTGCACACTATCTTCCTAAAGGTCTGGGCGTGTTCTTGGGCTTTACCGGGCTTCCCTTGGAAGATGCGGCCGATCGCGCTCGTGTTATCTGAGTAAAATACTATGTTCGATGGCTTGTGGGTGTCCGGGTTGTTTTCGATGAAGCGACGTGTTTCTTCCGCTGCTGCCCTCAGCCCCATCATTTCTGTATCGAAGGCTTCTACGTAGCTACCCATGGAACCGTTCCTCTCGAATACCGTTACACCTGCTGAATAACCGACTACACCGAATCCTGTGGCGTTTTGTCCTTCTTCTGTGTACTTGGATCCGTCGGAGTACACGAAGAGGAAGTCTGGGTCGTCCTCGTTTTCCGTCGTAAATTCCAGGTGGTCGTCTGTCCACGACTCCTTGGCGGATTCACCAGCGGTGTTCTCTGGTAGGTAGATCTGGATACGATCTTCGATGTCGAATTCCGAAATGTGCCATGGGGCTTCGCTGTGTGGGCGGATCCTCTCTGTGCCGTGAATCATATGGTCCGCGATGCGGGTGATGCACGTTGAGAAGGTGTCCCTTGGGTCTGAGCGATATCTTCTGTGGGGGTCGTATACCGGTAGTGGTGGTACAGTGTGTGGTGTTGTTAATCTCCTCTGCCACGGGTAGAGGCGGTTGGTGACTGGGTGGTCGTCCGGGAGTCGGGACAAGCGTGTTGCCTCCATCTTCAGTCGGTATTCGAGGAGTATGTCGATGGGTGGGATCGATGCTTCGATCTCCATGGCCTGTATGCTGGTCGTTCGAAATGCTCCTGTAATCATGCGCAGGCATTTGTTCTGTAATGTAGAGAGATGTTTAATGATCAATTTAGATTTTTTGCGCCAGTATACCGGTAAGCCATATAAAGCGATGGGCAATACCGCTCCTAGGTAGAGGCGCCGGGCATGGGTCTGGTGGAGGCCTCTCTCTGAGTTGCCCAGCATACGAAGGGCTTGGGCTGCAGACGCTGCTTTCGAGGTGGTCCTCTTAATGTGTTCCGTGAACTTGAGTTGTGGGTCGAACCATATGCCTAGATATCTCATCAGGCTGGATGGGTTGATTGTTTTGTCGGCGTTGTCTATGTGTGAGGGGATGGTGATGGATGGGCCTGGCCCGGCATTTCTGCCCGTTCTGGTTTGGGTGAAGTGCATGAGGTCGTTTTTTACCGGGTCAGTCTTTAAGCCTCTTTCTCTGAGCCACTCGTGGGCTATGCGGAAAGCGGTCTTAATGACTTCGGTGGCTTCTTCTCTGGATGGCGCTGATGCTGATATGGACCCGTCGTCTACATAGAGGGTGAGTGGAATGGGGGTGATTAGGCCTTTGTTCAATTTAGAGCTTAGCTCGGTGGTCTGTGCAATCCTGGTGTGGACACCTTCCTCTACGGCTTTCGCCAGGGGGGACGTGAAGTATGCTGCCAGAATTGGTGAGACACATGAGCCTTGTGGCACACCGGTGAAAATGGGTCTTAGCTGGTCTCGTTTTCCGTCTAGGCAGATTGCCGCTTCTCTGTCCTTTAGGAAACTGAGGACCCATTTTACTATGGGGAGCGGGATGTGGTAAGCTCTTAGCGTGCTGATCAGGTGGGAGTGGGGGATGTTGTCGAAAAAGCCGGTGATGTCAAAGGTGAGCATGGAGACTACTCTCTTATGGTTCCATGCCGCCTCGATGTCGTGTACTATAGTGAGGAGGGCATCTTGGGCTGATTTGCCGGGGATTCCGCCATACTGTGTGCTGGGGAATAAACGGTGTCTAGCTGCCAGGTATGCTAGCCTGCGGGCTTGGATCCGTTCAAGGGCTTTGCCTGAGACTTCCAGCAATTGAATCAGTCTATATGATCTGGGGAGGGAGTAGTCCCTGTTTGGTTTCTGCAACGCCACTGCGATGGAAGTATGCCATAATTTCGGGTGGTAGCCTGAGTCTGCGCATAGCCTGAGGAGGTGGAATATCTCCTCCCCAAGGGTCTTCCATGCCCACCGCCAAGCGCGCCCTGTGAGTCCAGAGATCCCTGGGGCATTCAGTTGGGCAGCAGTGAAGATGGCGTCTCGGACTTCT